GGTCCTGCAATTCTCAGACATGCTTCAAAGCTCACCTGTGCAGACTGCCCCTAGAGCTCTGGCAAGTTTTCATTGAGACTTTTTCAATAAGTATTCTTTCAACTGTCTAAAACTGTAAACTAGCACTGAACATACTCCTGCCCCCAAAACAAGCAATTACATTTATATGTAGTGTGGCAATGCTCTGGCCATGCCCCAAGGGTCCTGCAATTCTGGAGGATAGTGTTTGTCTCTTTTCCCTTTTACTGGAGGCAAGGGCCACAGCCTACTGAGACAGCCTCGTCATATACTAGTCTACACCTTGGAGTGAAAACCCTTCTGTAGTCCTAGTCTCCCCTGTTAGGGGGAGACTCTGTTGTGGCATGGGGAGAGTTGGGGAAAACCCAGGCCTACCTGCTACTTCCAGTTTCAACCCAGGGACTCTAAGGCAGCAGCAACAGACAGGGTTTCCTCTACTTCCAGTCTGGAAGCTTTTCCCATGGGCCACTTCCCCAAATGATTCCTCCCAGTATCTTTCCTCTGGTACCTGAGTAAGTCAGTCCTGCTCCTCCATGGCACTTTGCCTTGCTCACAGTCCTCAGCTCTCACTCAGGGTACCTCTTCACTCTCAAACCTTGGGCTTCTGTCCTCCCTGCAGGGAGACATTTTAAACAAGCTCCAGCAGGTCTTAATGGGCTGCAGGTGATCTGATTAGGTTGCTGCTTCTGGCAAGCTCTTATTGCCTGAAGCAGTTTGTGCTACACTAGGCTTGTCCCTGGTTACTCAGGAAAAAGAAACCTTTTACCCAGAGCCCAGCATATCTGTTTTCCATTAGACTGCAGCATTCAACTAGTCTGGATCTGTCACAGTAACAAACACTGCATCAGCTTCCTGTATACCTCTGTATTATACATGGTCACCTATAAACTTGTAAATATTCCCATACAATTATTTTTAAATAGATCATTTGTAAATTAGTCTACTCAACTTTTATCTCATCCCTTCTCTAAAAAGACAGAGAAGCTAGCTAATTTAAAACTATGGTATATTCTGAAAGATTAGCACAATGTGAAAAAGCACTGTTGCCACAAGTATTGCTGTTGCAATAAATACCTTGAAACCTCATTTGGTTTTATTTTTGGTTGGGGCGTGTTCTCCTTTTCTCTCAATATATATACAAAAGTTTCTTCCTGCCTGGTGACAGAATGACATCATCATGCTCTCTGGCCATGAAAGCCACCAAAGAGAGGGGGGTTCACGAGTGTAGCAAGCAATGGGCACAGTCCCGTAGTTCAATAAAAGTATTCACTTAAAGATGAAGTTTTTATTTTCATGGTTATTGGAGGGTACAATCTATTAACGTAGAATGACAGTTTCCTTCTACATTTTTATGGTGTGTCATGCTACAAATTTCTTCTTGCCATTCACATTTACAGACCAGCATTTATCTTCTACTTAGAAAACTCAAAAAAGTCTCCCTTTAAATCATCATTACAATTTCATCATAAGCAAGACCACCTGTTTCTTTCAGTGCAAGAGTCCCTACTTTCTTTACCTTTCTTTACACATTATACTTATAAATACAATTCTCATACATTGCTTAGTGGCCCATCTCTGTGAAAAGCTCCTGCTCTTTCCTTTATGTAATCTGTTATGCTCTAAAAGAATCTTGAAACCTCAAACATTTCCTATCTGTAGCAAATGTTCAGCAGTCTCCTAGGAACAGGACTAACGCGCAGATCCTCAAAGGTATTTAGGCTCTTAACATCGGTTGATTTCAGTTAAAAACTCGGAGACTACATACCTTTGAGAATTTAGGAGGCTGAATGCCAAATTCTGCTATGTTTACTCCCACTGAGTCATGCCTTATTCTGCAAATCACAATTTAAAGATCTGTGGAATGTCTTGCTGAGTTAGGTCCATTGTGCAAAAGGATGGAAAAAACTGACCCTTTGAAATCCATCCTTAAATGTTATGATTTGTAGTTTGCATGCCAGAGGGAGACAAGCAACTGTTGTATAAATGTTGGCACAACTACTGCTTGCACAAAAGGATCTCTGCCTCAGGAAAGAAAATATGACTCCACTATAAGAGTGAAAATTTGCTCAGTGTAAATCCAGAGTAATTCAGTTGGCTTTAAAAGCATTATTCAGGATTTACATCAGTGTAACAGTATTAAATATTTGTTCTTAAAATGGAATCTACTTTTTAACCTTTTATTTGCATGTAGGATTATAATATAGTTTAGTAGACAGTACAGTAGCACTACTAGTTAAAATGGAAAAGCAATTTTGGATAGAAAAACCTGGCATTTTCTTGTGTGTCAGCCTGAGAGAGAACTTTTAGTAGGCTTGATTGTATTTGTGTGTGAAATGTTCAAAGTATATGGCGATGACTTGATTTCCTTTCTGAAGAAAAATATATTTGGTAATTGGAAAAGAGAAATCTGAAGTTGATATGACTATGTTATAAAGGTAAATAAGTCTTTTAAAAGGTTCTTCTTACCCTTGTTCATTTATCATTTTTAGTACTACTTCACTTAGACACTTGCAGCTGGCCTGTCCCAGCTGATGTGGAGTGTGGTGTTTGGGCTAAGGGGCAGTTTAATTATCATGTAGACATTCAGGCTCAAGCTGGAGCCTGAACTTTGGGACTCCCCATTAGCCCTGTCAGAAATGACCCTTGAAAATACTTCTCAATAATTAAATATTTGCTTTTGGGATGCATCAAGTTTCCAAACACATGTAATCTTGTTCATGGATGTTGGTGGCTGCCAGCAAAGATGTCTGGTCTATGGGCAATCACAGACCTTGTTCAAACTGATGGACTTGCTAGTCACCTTTCATTTGGGCTAAATGAAGGGGCAATTAAAAGTCCTTTTGTTTAATGATAGCTGAACTAATAAAAGCCAGCGGCCAAGACATGGCAAGGCCTAAATAGAAGTCAAATGATGTAGCCCAAGTGGTTTTCTTGGAGACAGATTGCAAATGCTACGACTGATGTGGGTATAGCTTAGTGAGTGTGACAAAAAGGAACAAGAAAGTTATCAGACAGTGAGAGAAGCAGTATGAATGTGGCCCTGGGAAGAATCTGAGAGTGGGCTTTTTGGGCACAGTACCAGCTAGAAAGGCAGATTTGGATATCTGAGCAAGGAAACTGTTTCTACTGCATTCAAGGAAATGGCCTTGTACAACCTTTTAAAATAGTATTTCACCAAAGACCAGATGAAGTCAGCAGTCTCTCCCTCTTAACAGTAATAACCTGCCAAGGAACAATAATATCCTGGACTCCTTTAAAAAGTTTATGCATCCACTCACCCACATTTAAATGCAGGCAGCTGGGACATTATGCTATTGTAGTCCCTGCATGCATCATGATCTGGACTGAACTCAAGATCTCCAGCCCAAAACTAGAGCTAAAGGACTAAGATCATCTTTGGGAGAAGAACTTGGCAGTTATTGTCTATGGAACAGCTAAAGAGAGGGGATACATAGCATGTATTAAACAGTGCGTTACATTATACTATCGATATACAGGACTCACAGTATTTTTCAGGAACAAATTTCCACCAAGTACATTCAATATAAATTGTTTTGCTAAGTGGTGTTGCCTTTTTCTTTTGTTATGATTATAATGGAGTGTTTCTGTTAAATGAAAGGGGCAATGGAGAGATTCCCCCATCCTTCATCACCCCTATCTGCAAATACATACACCCTTAATTATATAGAGTATATTACAGGAAACTGCTTGTTATAATGTAATCACTACACCATTACTAACATCCACCTGGAAAATTGCCTTAGCAGCAGTTGAGAAAAGTAAGCATGAGTCTCATTTGTAGGCTTATAGAGCACTAGACCATGACACATTGAATATTTTATTGACATCTCATTGATGTATTACAGACAATTCATACTACCTGTGAGAGATGCTAGTTTCATAGTGGGAAGTCTACTGAATGAACTCTATAAAAACAGATTAAAGAACATAGATAGTGATTATATAGGAGCCAATTTTCCTAATAGATCAAAGACTGACATTAAATCAGTGATTAAAAATATGTTACATAATGAAAACCTGCCATGGATCATTGGGATCCAGTCCATAATGCAGCTCACACACTTTTATAAAGGTAAGAGAGACTGGCTCCTTGGGGTAGCGTTGCACTGCAGTGTAAGCCCAAGGAGACAGAACTCTATTTGGCTTGAGTGTCTACACTCATTTGTAACCCCAGTTACGATCACTGAATCCTATGTCCCAAGTCTACACTGCATTATGCGGCCCCGACTCCAAACACCCATATCCCACACTGCCTAGCACCCTCCCAAAATGTGGCTGCTCTAGCCCTCTGGGGTACAATGTTGGAAAACGAATGTCCATCAACTTCACTGTCCAGAGGACAAAGAAAGCCAACTCATCGAATTGAGTAATACCTGTGGCTGTGTCCCAGTGCACAAGTCCTGTGGGGCTGGGGCTACTCTGCAAAGAAGTAAGGCTTGGAACCTTGACCCTTATGGAGTCCTGGGCCTCTGGCTCAGAGCAATTAGTGCGTCCATGGAATGTGGGATTAGTCTTGAGCCTGAGTCGAAACCCTGGCCTTACATCACAATGAAGGCAAACTCTTGGTGTGTCTCTTAGCTACAGTATCTTGAAGCTAGCTTAGTTTGGGGCTCCTGTTCTCTGGGCTGCTAGAAAGCAGGTAAGTGAATGTGGTGATGGTGAGATATACCAGTGTTACGCCTTTTCAGCCTGCTCCCTACTCATGGAGCAGCATTTGGATGAGACTGTCTCTTCTCCATTTAGAGCAGGGGGTCTCCAGCCTTTCTAAGCACAAGATCACTTTGAATTTAAGTGTAATCCAGGATCTACTTCAGACCCAAATACCCTGCCCTGTCTCCTTTGTGCCCCTTTGAGGACCTACCCCTGCTCACTCTGTCCTCCCTCTTTCCTCCACTCTCCCTCCCTTTCATCAGACAGGAGCAGAGGGTTGGAGTGCAGGCCCCGATCTTGGGCTAAAGGATTTGGAGTGTGAGAGGGGCTCTGCACAGCAAACAGGAGGCTTCTGGGGGGAGGGGGGAGCGCAGCTCCAAGGCAAAGGGCAGGAGGTGAGCAGCGCTGGGTGGAGGGGCAGCTGAAGTGGAGGCATTTGACAAGAGTCCTGGTCAAACCAGTCAGGTTCACCTGTCAGAGACTCCAGGATCTACCAGTAGATCCCGATTTACTGTTTGGTGACCACTGATTTAGAGAATGTGTGGTCAGGCCGCATAAGAGTGTTCAGGGAGTGATGCCCCCTAAACAGCTTCTAAAGGGAGCTCTCACATGAGTGGACTAAAAAAGACTGTTAGGCCTGCCAAATACTTTCCAACTGGCATCTGCAGGAGGTTCTGAACTTGCCTTTTCCAGAAGAGACACCATGAGTACTGCAGCACATGAGTTTTCATGCTAGCATGGTGGAAAACTTTCGGTTGCCCTCTCCTACAGCCGCACCCAGGCCTTTTGTCTGTAGTTGTTTCTTCCCTCCCATTGTTGTGGGTGTTACATATTTACTAATCAGATTTTTCTCCACCTTCTATGTTTCTGACAAATCGGTCCTTCGGAAACAACAATAACTCAAAAAAACTTAAAAAGCATCAGCTGTGGAAATCTGTAGGGTATCCATTATGTTCTTGAGTTCTCTCACTGGAATCATAGATCCTGTATTTTCAAGGGAAGGGTCTATGTAATTGTATTTTCGCAAGGGAAAAGCTGTAAGCAGGCTTTTCTTTTGGAATTATGGTATCTCAGGGTAAGCAGCAATAAATCAAAGCAAATCTGACTTTTGTTCTCAGTGTTGATTTTGAACATGAAAACGATAAAGGGCAAGGGATCTTTCACAGGAGACCTCCCTTTGGTTGTGCCAAAGGTACTGAAACTATATGCACTCAAGTTTCTTCTTTTTTTATTTATTTGTGCAATTTAAACTAAATATTTTGCCTATCAGCTTTGGTTCTGCAAATTTTGTCATTGCTGATTATGATTGACCAGTTACATTGCTGACCATTGCCCAATCTGGAAATGTATCCAACTGGAAGAGACTAATCCCCCAAGTGTTGATCGCCACCATGACAACCACTAGACCAATGAGATTTACACCCAAGCCAGCTTTCACCTAAAGGGAAAAAATAAACAAACATAGTACAATGAATGTCAAGCAGATTAGAAAGCATTAATTAATAAACACAGAAGGTGGTAGGGTGCACAGTGGAGAACAGTCAATTCCCTCATGCTCCCAGTTGCATAAAGAACAAAGTAAATGTGCTTACTACCATGGCAGAAAAAGCCTAATGAATAGTTGTATGTGAGAGTGTGTATATAAGTGGGAAAAGTTCAGAAGATGTGGTCAAAGGTGTATAATCAATGCAATTCATCACATGACTATAATTTCTCGCACGGACATCTCTACCATATATTTATACCACATGTGCAAGGTGATAGCTATAGATTAATTGTAAATATATGATAAATCTCTTTTATCATACCCCTCTAGCTTCCTCACTTGCACTCTGCTCACACAAGTTATGTGTACAAAGGTTCCCAAGGGTGTAAATTCCAGATTAGAAACACATGGCAGCATGCTGAAGATAGACGGTGGCCATTGCAGTGTGAGTGGCAGAAGGGGCTAACTACATCAAAGACATAACTAAGGTTTCAGAGAGGTACAAACTCGAGGCAGCTAGCCCCTGCCTCCCCTTGTGCCATTGACGTCATAGCCTAGTTTTAGTACATTAGCTGAATCAGAGCTATCTTAGGTATAACTCTTGGACTTGGAATGTACCTCTCCATCTCCAACCATAGACATAACCTCATCTCTCTCATCCAGGATTGCTACTGTATTCCAGGAGAACTGGATGGGGGAATTTTGTACTGTCATCCTCTCAGACATTACACAGGAGTTATATTCATTTTAAAAAACAGAGCACACCTCCAGCAGCTAAAGTTCTTAAAATGACAGTTACTGTGAAATGGTTACAGTGCTGAACAATATTCCCTCTATTCTTTTCCATCAGTGTGCAGAATAAATTTTATTATGTGTGCCACCAGTAGACACACATGCTGCTGGCTGTGGGTGCTCTGCTAATCAGCTGGGTGGCATTTGTATTTCTCATGGGTGGCCACCCAAGTGCTCAGCATACAGAGAACACTGGCTGCTGGTCATTGTCACATTACATTAACGTGACTCCTGTGATTATTTCCAGATCCCATATATGATGATGAGTTCAGTTCACTTTAAGCTTGGGAAAATGTGACAGTTCTCAGGACTTACCATGTCTTTGATCTGGCAGTGCCCATAACTGAAGACAATGGCATTTGGGGGATTGCCCACTGGCAGCATCACCGCAAAGGAAATACACATTGTTACAGGAATCAGGGTGTATAAAGGGTTGATATGCAAGGTTTCTGACTGCAGAGAGAAGAGGTGGGGGTGGGAAAGAGAAGTTTCACATTGCCTTTAAGTTGTTTGCTGTAATTACAGATAAAAGACACCTGTCTGTTTCTCTCTCCCTCCCCCCAAGATCTAGAATTGTTAACGTACCCTCTATTCCCTACATTTTAAGACCTAATTGTAAACTCATTATCCTTTTCCCATAGTTGAAAAGAGAGTGTAGTGCTTAAATTTCAAGATATTCTTTATCTAGGAACTTTTGTTTAGTCGTTAACATATTTGTAAAGAAGAGAAGAAGTCACTCTAACTCTATTTTCTTTCTCCCATTTACTTCCCTCCTCCATTATCCTGGGGCAGCTGTATTCTGCATTGCTCCTTGTAGTCCAGGGGTGGGCAAATACTGGCTCATGGGCCAGATTCCATCTGCCAGGGTTAGCCCCGGTGGGTCCCCACATTTCTGTATTTACGCCTCCAGAGGTACAGAAGAGCAAAGCTTCTGGCCAATGGGATTTGTGATTGCCCATACCAGCGGAGGTGCAGGTAAATATAGTGGCAGTGGCCCACCAGGGACTAACCCTGGTGAACCACAGCTATTTTATTGCCCACCCCTGTTCTAGTTCTAACAAGTGCTGTTCCCAACTTCATCCAGCAGAGGTCACTATAGGCTGACAGGATGAATTCCCTTCCCCCAAGTAGAATAGTGATAGAAATGTAGCCGTGTTAGTCTGGGGTAGCTGAAACAAAATACAGGACTATGTAGCACTTTAAAGACTAACAAGATGGTTTATTAGGTGATGAGCTTTCGTGGGCCAGACCCACTTCCTCAGATCAAAGGGACCAACTGGCAGCACCCCAGCTGCTCTGCCACAGGCGTCTGGAGAAAAGCCTAGTCTGCTGGGGGGGAGGGGAGGTACTAGCTGTGCCGGCCCCACCCCAGCAGA